GTAATACAGAATTTTCCATGTCGAAAACAAGCGGGGGATGTTGACGGTCGACGAAATATTAATTCGAGTTTTAAAAGCGCGAAGAAAAATTTCTATTTTGCAAGAAGGAATCGTGATTTAAAATTATACAGGATGAGTCACTAGAAACTGTTTTCTAAGATATCTTCAGAAATATTGATTTTACACAAAAACGTTTTAGACAAAAGTTAAATAATTTTAAAGGGGCTATACTTTAGTCGTCTATTTTTAGGTGGAGGCGCCAAAAAATTTTTGAAAGTCATCTAAAATTTTTTAAATGGAAAGCCTTATTTTTAATCAATTATAATTGTAGAGGATGAGAAGATGAATCCAACGACCTATAACACTTTGATCGTGGGGTGACTTTGAAATGAAAAAATTTAGAAAAACAGGAAGAATAGGTGAATAATAAAAGTAATAATTTTGCAAACAAATTAATTTTATTTAATAAAGTGCTATTATTTTGGAATTATTTGACATTAATAATACGTTGCTTCATGTCTTTTGTTGGTACATCTCGATATACTATTTGTTCACTCATCATCCCCATGAAATCCCATTGACACATTCTTTTCCCTTGTGTTTATCAACATTGTGTTTATTAATCCCCAGAAGACATGAAACAATCAATGGTTATCGAACGATTCCAAAAGATACGTTGAGTTCGCGCATTCTTTAGAAAACGTATTAAAAAATGTCATGAAATGAATGGGCAAAACTTTGAGAGCATCTTATTAAATAAAATTAATTAATTTTGTTTGAAAAATTATTACTTTTAATACTTACCTATTACTCATCCTGTTTTTCTAGATTTTTCATTTCAAGGTCATTCCACGGTCAAAGTATTATAGGTCGTTGGATCATCTTTTCATCCTCTACAATTATTGTTGATTAAAAATAGGGTTCCCCATTTAAAAAATTTGAAATCACTTTCAAAACTTTTTGGCGCCTCCACCTAAAAATAAACTAAGACGACTAAAATGTAGCCCTTTTAAAATTATTTAATTTTTGTTTTAAATGTTTTTGTGTAAAATCAATATTTATGAAGATATCTTAGAAAGCAGTTTCTAATGACTCACCCTGTATAATTGGAGAATTAGAAATGTGAATTTTTACGTTCTTCTCAACCTGTCTTAAAAATCTCGCCAACTTTTCTAAAAGGAACAATCAGAATGACAGAATGACTTTTATCGTGGGTCTCACCTGTATATAAGAAAATCACTATATAATAACTGCAGCTATAAAACAATGTTATTGCCTTATTCAGCGGTAATTCCCTTGGCGGCGCCACGTTATTAACCATCAATCACGGTCTCTTAGTCACAAAATGTATCGTTTCGTTCGTCCCGAATAGATGCATATTCAAGAGCGCAAACGTCCGTCATACATTCGTCGTCGTTGCAATTTAATGCGCGTTTCATGACCCGACACTCTCGGGAGTTAAGGATAAAAGTCGTAAACGCCGCGTATTGCCGCATAGATAATTTCACGACACGACGCGGAGAAGGTGAAACTGCATTCGCCTAATGCCGTTTCGCCTCGCATTGTCCGCAACGCGCCGCGACGCCCACCCGGGTCCGCCGCTTATAAATCCGCAACAGGCGCGCTTAATCCGCGCCCGTCGCGCGTGTGTGAGTGCGTGCAATGAGACGCGACAATGCACCTCCAAGCCGCGAATGCGCGGATTTATCGTCGATGCTGAGACAATGAGCGCCGAGATAGGGCAGCTCCTCTATTAGGATCGCACCGAATTCCCCGTGTGAAAGGCACTTAGCTTTCGGCATTGTTGCCGGGTTAACGATTTTCGCTGCGCGGCGATATCAGCTTATCGCGCAATACACGGTTAAGCGAAAGAATAGATGCCGATCGAGAGCCCAGCGAGGAACAAGCGATATATATTTCGGATACGAAGAGAAGATAGAAGAGGTAATACAAGTTTACATCAAATTAATGGCAACAACACCGAGAACTTTTCCAGAGACTTAATTGGTCCTCTTAAAGATGTTTTGGTTGTAGAATAGTAATAAAAAAGTGTCAAAATTTAAAAAAAAAAACTATTTGTGTTTCTTATGTTTATATTGTTTGAAAAATTAAATAAATAAATCCGGATTATAAAAAAAATTAAAGTATCACAAAATAATATACACACAGAAAAATATTCTTCTATTGCTAAGTAAAATGATTACTCAGTTTACTTTACTTCTTTTAAGTAACAGTTATCTTTAACAAATTTATGACAAAAACTTTTGATCGTGAATACCCCTGAAATCAACTGCAAGAAACAAAAAACCGACTAATTTGCAGAAAGAGAGAGAGAGAATATTTTTCTACAATTTTTAGTAAATAACTTTTAAACGAGTAAATGGATATAAATCAAGTTTTGCACAAATATTTATTAGTTTTTTTATAAGATATGTGAACATTTTTATTTTGTTGGCAATGTTTTTTCCTTGTCAAATTTGTCAATAAGTGCTACAATATGCAATTTTCCATAAGAATCAATACTAACTTTAAACTTAAAATTCCGAACTGTTAAGATAATTGAGTGTGCTCAGGTTTTGCACATATACTCAGAAGAAATAATAGAATAGTCTTGAAATACTTGAAACAAGTAATATTTACTTGTATATAGTATGTATTTTTCTGTGTGTAGTTTTTAATGTCTTCGTAAAAGAAAACGGTTGTAATTAATATTTTTCTAATTTATGACAAAAACTTTTGATCGTGAATACACATACATCCTTAATGCTGTCTATGCAATAAGACGAATGCGTGAATACTCACGTGCCGCTTTCGAAAATCATGCAATGTAAACACTTTGATTTATAAAATAATATTTATTAGAACAATTCTTGGAAACTGAATTTGTTTAATTGCAAATAGAAAATAAAATAATGTATAAATAAAAATATATTTATATATAAATTCAAAAAAACCATGAAACTATCCTTTTCTCTAATTTATAATTCCGAGAAAAGGAGAAAATATTAATTCTCGAATCAAACTACTTTCCCAAGTATATTGCGTTATCGGCGCAATATCAGTAGTTTGAATACAAATAACCGGATTGGCAATGTTTTTTCCTTGTCAAATTTGTCAATAAGTGCTACAATATGCAATTTTCCATAAGAATCAATACTAACTTTAAACTTAAAATTCCGAACTGTTAAGATAATTGAGTGTGCTCAGGTTTTGCACATATACTCAGAAGAAATAATAGAATAGTCTACGAAATTTTCATGCTTTTGTCAATGTTTTGACATATGACACATACATCCTTAATGCTGTCTATGCAATAAGACGAATGCGTGAATACTCACGTGCCGCTTTCGAAAATCATGCAATGTAAACACTTTGATTTATAAAATAATATTTATTAGAACAATTCTTGGAAACTGAATTTGTTTAATTGCAAATAGAAAATAAAATAATGTATAAATAAAAATATATTTATATATAAATTCAAAAAAACCATGAAACTATCCTTTTCTCTAATTTATAATTCCGAGAAAAGGAGAAAATATTAATTCTCGAATCAAACTACTTTCCCAAGTATATTGCGTTATCGGCGCAATATCAGTAGTTTGAATACAAATAACCGGACATGAGTCAGCGATATATTAAAACACACAGACGAAGGCACGGAGTAATGATCTGGCTGACGTACGTCGAGCAATACTTATTGTTAGTGTCGGTATATCTCGTGCGGGCGTCGGTTTCGCAAACGCACGTATCACGTTGCCCGATAATTCTCAGGCAGCGGGCTCGAGACGAAGCGCGGAGAATACACCGTGGGTTTTTTTCGCAGTACCACCGAAGGCTCGCCGTTGCACTGTACGAAGAAAAGAAGAAGAGAGAGAGAGAGAGAGAGAAAAAAAAAGGAGACACCGGGGAGACCGAAAGAGACGAAAACGTACGGCGAAGGACCTCGCTCGATTCACGGCGGAGTTCGAGGTCGGGCCTTGTCTACCTATCTACCTACCTACCGAATGCTTCGCCGGCTTTTGGGCCCGCCTACGACCTTCAAGACGGGCTGAGCTCTAAGGATGGCCTCGATTTCGTTTTATTAACATACAGCTTCGACAAACATTCGGCCAGGAGGAATCGACCTCCCCCGAGGTCGAGCCGATGGATCCGAATACTTGGAAAGACAGGAGGATGAACCGAAAATGTGAGAGGATGATTGAAATGCTCGCGCGAAAAACACGAGAAGGACGTTGGATGCACGATTCTTCAACTGATATATATTAAATAAATAAATGAAGAATATATGTATATAATTCCACAAATTTTATAGTTTAAGCGACTAAAAACATAATAGAAATATTTTTGAAATTTTTAGATCAAAATCGGAATCTACTTTTTACACGCAGAAAAATACATACTATATACAAGTAAATATTACTTGTTTCAAGTATTTCATAAGTTCATATATCCGCAAATCTATCATAAGTTCATCATAAGCATCAAATTTATTCAAAATATATTCTGAATCCTAATAAATATAATATTTCAATCAAGAATATTAAATTATATAATTGAAAGAAATACATTAAATTTTTCTGATCTAATAAATTTTCTTACATTAAATTAACCATATCTGACTTTTCTTCGATAAAATTTTATAATATTCTTCAAAAGAAAATATTTACTTGTTTTGAGTACATGATAATGAGTATTTCTAAAATTTGTGACAAGTCTATTTTAAGACTATTATTAAGAAAATATTCTTTGTTAAAGATAACTGTTACTTAAAAGAAGTAAAGTAAACTGAGTAATCATTTTACTTAGCAATAGAATAATATTTTTCTGTGTGTATTCCGGCGAAAATAATGGAAAAAGGAAAATTGTATTTATATGAAGATCTCTTAAAAAAATTACTGAAACGAAAGAGTATTCGCTTAATCGCAAAATTAAAGGCATTGGGAATGATGATAAGGGAAAAGTATTCACACAGATAAGATACCAGATATAAGAATGCAGAGTTAATAAATAAATCTTTTACAAGAGAATTCCATTGATAGATATTACGCGATTATCGCCCGTAGATTAATAACGCGGATGCATTTTTGTATCTCATCGCGGGTTACGTAAATAGTCTATACCTCGAACATTGCTAAACCGCAACCGAATGGCGGCTCTCGCTTCAATTCCCGCTAACACACGATGAGGTTGCAAATTTCATCTAAAAGTCCACATATTACCAGCACAATGATGCAGATTGTTTTGTCTCGTTATAAAAAGCGATAAGTCATATTATATCAAAGTTCGAGATTTTTATCACGCGACATTTAATACGATGAAGATAAACTATTAGTAAAAGTATATCTGTTTATATATTTCGTTATATTGTTCATATATTTATACAGGGTGTTCCAGATCAGGTCAATGAAACTTCAGGAAATTACAGGAAATTTAATTTGAAACAAAAAAAATTCCGATAAACATAGGTCCGGAAACGCTTCGTTAAAAAATTATTAAACTTCGAAAAATCAAGTTTTTTAATGACTTTTAAAAATAACTTTAAAACCCTTCATTCATTTGAAAAAAGTAACGAAATAAATCTAATGGATAATTAAATAACAAACTAAATTACATCAATGTCATTTAATTCTGATAAGCGTTCAAAGGAATATAAGCTCAAAACGACGGAAAAAGCAGAAACTTGAAAAAATCACCTTTCGATGGTCTTTGTGTAAACACTACATTTATAGTGCAAACATTGCAAATGCAAACATAAAATATTCTGATTAAATTTTGATCATAACTAATTACTTAGAGAGAGTTTATTAGCTATAACTTTTTAACGAATCGTTTCCGGACTTATATTTATAGGAACTTTTTTCTTCCAAATTCAATTTCCTATAAGACCCTGAAATTTCATTGACCTGACTTGGAACACCCTGTATATTCGTCATATATTCATTATTATATTCAATTTCAAAATTTATTTTATTTAAATTAACAATCTCGCAACTTTTTTCGAATCACAGCGCGTCGAGAGCGAGTGGGATCGATCTTTTTCGCTATTTGACGATACAATCGAGACAGCTACGCCGTTAATAATAGTAATATTCATTACTCGGCAGGGCGCAGTTGTAACATCTGCTTTAAACGCGTAACTCGCTACGCGATTATCAGTAATGTTGACGCGACCGGTGCCGTAATGGCACGGCGGTTTGCACTTTCGTGGAAACATTTAATCCTACAACTTTAATAAGACGCCATTGGATCTTTCTCTCTCTCGGGCAAACGCGGGAGCTTCCGCGCCCAATGTTTTTTTCCCTCTCTTTTTGAGGGAGAGAGTTACGATAAAATATGAAAATAAAATACACACGGCATGTATATACCTGATCCAAACGGTGTTTTCATACGCGATACGAACAGTATAAATTTCAGTAAGCGCTTTGATTAAAATTTGTATTTAAATAATATAATATTATATTATATAATCTTTATTTAAAAATAGTATTGTTTTATATTATTTTCGAGAAAAAAAAACACAAAATAATTATGTACTTTACATATATTACAAGGAATGAATAATATAAAAAATTGATGGCTTGCTAAGATTACTAAAATTATGGATTCGAATATACCTGTTCTACCTTTTTTTTTTTTAAGAGTTACGATAAAATATGAAAATAAAATACACACGGCATGTATATACCTGATCCAAACGGTGTTTTCATACGCGATACGAACAGTATAAATTTCAGTAAGCGCTTTGATTAAAATTTGTATTTAAATAATATAATATTATATTATA